TGGTATGATGAACAAAGGGATGGAATATTTCACTTCTATGATGAGCAAGTATGGTATTGATCCAAGAGCCAAGCATTACAGCTCTGCTATTGACCTTCTTGCTCGTGGTGGTCAGTTAGAAGATGCATGGATGCTTCTTCAAAAGACGAATACTGAGTGCAAGTCATCAATGTATGGTGCAATGCTTGGAGCTTGCAAGGTACATGGCAACATGCCTCTTGGAGAAACTGCAGCTAAGAATCTTTTCAGTATAGATCCTGAGAGTTCTGTAAACTATGCTGTGCTTGCAAACATGTATGCAGAATCATGTTTATGGGAGGATGCTCAGAGAACAAGAAAATTATTGGCGGAGACATCCAAAGGAAAAGAAGTTGGTTTCAGTGTCATATAAATTAGGTTATGGTCGATAGAGATATTTTCATCTTCAGAAAGTGAAAGGGGATGGCTATTTGGCTCTAAAAATGATCAAGATGAATCTGAAACTCTGATCTTCTTTTGACTATGTTCCAAGACCCCAGATGGACTGTAGATCCAACATACATGACAGCTGTTGAAACTCTGACCTTGTGAAGGCTTAGCCATTTCAATTAAAAAAGTAAGGAGCTTACAACTTTTCAGCAGACACCATATTCGTCTATGGTAAGTGTATCATTTGTTTCATAGTACAATTGTTTTGTAGTTTGTTTATTATGCTTTCTTTGAGGTTTAGGTTCCTTTTGAATCCATACATTGCACCTCCATTTCAAACTATGAGTCGTTTTTATTTCAAACTATGAGTCATTTTTGTTTTTCTAGATACATAGTAAAACCTGCCAGAATGACTTATAATTTGGAATAGAGAGGGTTTATTTTAGTTTTATAATTTGCATCTTTAAATTTTGAAATCTGTCATATGTCTCTCATTTTGTCTTTCGTCATAGTTTGACTGACCATGATTATGCATTCATGTGTTATTTTCTTAGTTCACTAAATTATCTGCATATATTTTGTCACCTCTAGGAAATTAAGAACATAGTAATAGTAAGAAACATATGCAGAATTAGTATTTCTGTGACCAAGAGCCATCTATGATGTATACTCTTTTTTATAAAAAAAATGACTGTAAAACTGGCTTGTGATTACCAGTTTTGTATATTGATATTGTAGAAATGAAACCTAGCATTTACAAAGTTAAAAAGGAAAGGCATAAGCTAAAAACTAATTACAGGCTGTGCACTAGGGCTTCCCAAGACTTTTGCTCCCACAATGCACCAAGCTCGTGCTTCTTCCTTAATCATGTGGACGATGGTATTCGGCGGGCTGTCACCTCTGGAAAATTCACAATGCACCAGGATCTCTATTTTAGCATGATATATTCTTATGGAGTCATCTAGAAATATACTTTTTAATTGCGGAATGTGTACCAGATGGAAATCCAAAGGTTGAAGGGTTTTGGAATGACATGCTAAATTTGCAATCTCCTCTGTTCTGTCTAGGGCTCAGCTTAGTAACGCGCAGGAAGTAACCTGACTGCCATGAACTGCTTCAGTGGTGTCAGAACTTAGTATGTTGCTGAACTAGTTGTGCAATGCAGGGACTGCATCGTTTCCTATTCTGCTGAATTGATCACCGTGATCATCGTCTGAAATGTAAAGCCGGCGAGGCATTAGCAGAGTTGACCGTGTCAATGTAAGGTGGGTTAATCATGCCCTGGATTGCTGTCGGATGCTGATTTCCAAGATCTGGTGGAAGGGCTGTTGTGGTCAAGGTACCCCATTTCGCCAATACTGGGTACTGCCTGAGCTTGTACAGTAGCTTGTTCTCTGTTTTTTCCCGTGCTTGTACAGTGCACGTCTGGTTCGCTTCTAAAAAAACGTTTGAATACTAGCTGTGTTTCGGACTTTCGATTGTCATTAGTTAAAATAGTCTGTTTTTTCTTTTCCTTAGGCAACAGACCGGAGAACCTTGTTGGGTTTGTTCTGATTAGGCAGAAGAACGGGATTTTCAATTGTCGGATAGTTTGTTCATCTTTTCCTTATGCAACGGCCGGAGAACCCTGTTGGGCTGTCCTGGTTAGGCAGAAGAACTTCTGACCTTGATGGGCGTTTGATAAAAAAAAAAGGTTCAAAAATAATATAAAAAAACCGCAATTGCCAGGGATCGAACCCGGGTCGCCCGCTGTGACAGGCGGGAATACTCACCACTATACTACAATAGATGGCCAATGGGCTGGCCCGGCACGGGCCCGTGCCAGGCACGGCCCGATGGGGGTCGGGACGGCACGGCACGTTGTGCTTCCCGGGTCGTGCCAAAGCAGGCCTCGTGCCTGGCCAGCAGCCCAGGCACGGCTTGCCGGGCCGATTTTTGGGCCGGGCTGGCCCGAAAAGCATGGGTCGGGCCAGCCCGCAGCCCGAAACAGGTGAGAGAGAGAGGGGGAAGGGGAGGGTGCCGCTCGAGCTGGATTCGGAGGAGGAGGCCGACGCCATCGAGCTTGATCCAGAGGAGGCGAGGAGGAGCGGCTCGAGGCCTTCACTGCGCTCAATGCCTGTTTGCTCGCCGCCGCCACGTTGGAAGAGGCGGTCGGTGGAAGCGAGGTCGGCCGGTGGTGCGTGGGGCGATGCGACTGGAAAAGACGCCTGCGTGCTCGGCGGTGTTGAGGAGACGTCGCCGCAAGGGTGGTGTGGAGGAGGCGGCTAGTGCTGTCGGGTGCGGGGCCGTGACGCACGAGCGGGGCCGGGGGGCGAGGAGTCGCGTGACGCGACTCGCGACCGCGACCGCGAGAATCCAGAGGGTGTGCGGTGGCGGGGTGCGGCGTGCCGCGTGCGGGGATAGGAGAGTGGGAAATGAAGTTAGGGTTAGAGAATAGGAGGGGGAGTGGTTGGGCTGTTAGCAGGCTGCAGTAGCGCGGTGGGCAGTTAGTAGGTTGTGGTAGTCACCGAGCCAACTTCGTGCCTACCTGTAATTTCGGACCGGGCTGGGCCGCCCAGCGTGCCTGAGTAGTGGTCCAGGCACGGCCCTAGGCATTGGGTCAGGCTAGCCCGGGCCCGTGAAACACCGTGCCGTGTCGTGCTCGTGCTGGGCCAAAATAGCGGGCTTCGTGCCGTGCCAAAGGGCTGCGGGCTGCATGGACATCTAAAACTACAACGACTTGGTTGATCAGTTGTTTTTCTAAGGCCTGTCTACACGTGTTAGTTTTCAAAAGCATTTACAGTCTTGCTAATTTTGGAATCGCGCGAATCTAGCACGAGTTTTTCAAGACGGGCGAGCTCTTCAGCTGCCGGCAGCGTCGGTCAAGTGCAATGTGCCTTGCGTGCTCCCATAGTCTGTGTCATCCCAAGTGCAGATTTTGGCTGGCTTAAGTAAAATGCGCGTGTGCCGTGTGAGCTTGTGCAGTTGTGCGTGAGTTCTAAATACTACCAGCTTGTACTCGATCAATTGAGGGCGTAAGAAAATCATGCACCATCACACCGACAAGGTGCGAGTATGACATGGTAATTTGGAAACCTCCTATGGTCTAGGGTCTCAGCTTTCTTATGAGATACTTACAAAGTTACAAATAAGCAGGAAGTAACCTGACTGCCATGAACTGGTTCAGTGGTGTCGGATCTTAGTATGTTTGCTGAACTAATTGTGCAATGCTGGGACTGTATTGTTTATGTTCTAATTGTGCGCCATGATCATCGTCTGAAATGGGAAGTCTGTGAGGGCATTGGCAGGGTTGACCGTGTCAGTATAAGGTGGGTGAACGCTGCCCTGTACCTGTAGTGCTGTTCGGTGCTGATATTCCCCAGCCAATTCCAGGGGCACGATTGGTACAGCTTATAAGCTGTTTATGACCAAATAAGCTGAAATCTATAGCCAAACGTTACATTTTTCAGCAACTTATTCTGGCCATACTTATCCCCACAACTCTCATTTATACTAAAAAGCAGAAACTAGATCAGACCAGCTTATTTTAACCGTCGCTTTTACTCTATTTGTGCAGCTTATCTAGGAAGCGCTTCCCGGATAAGCTGTACCAAACAGGGCCAACGTCTGATGGAAAAGGGCTGCTCTTATCCGGGTAAGAACTAGCAGTCATTCAATTTTTTTTTAAAAAAAAAGAGCTAGCAGTCGTAGGAATTAATCTATTTTGAGAATGGACCTTTACGCGTAAAGGTTCAAGTGATTCTGCTGCATCTTTGTTGGTTTGATGATCAAGGGTTGCCAATGAGTAAAGAAAAGGTTAAAAAGCCGCAAAAAAAAACGCCGTTGCCGGGGATCGAACCCGGGTCACCCGCGTGACAGGCGGGAATACTCACCACTATACTACAACGACTTAGCTGTGTGTTGAAATGAACTAATGTATGTTATTATTTGATTAAGTATCAATGTGTTTGTGCTACTCCTCCGTCGCTAAATGTTTGTCGCCCCAATTTACGTGCCGATAACTTTGACTCGATTTATAAAAAATGCATGCAACATTTCTATCTCCAAATAAATTTATTAAAAAAACTAGATTCAAATATCTATCCAATGATACTAATTATGTATCGTAAATATTAATATTTTTTTAATATATATTTAGTCAAAGTTGCTTCTCGGAAAACGAAAACAATAGACATTTAGGGATGAAGTGAGTATACGGACTCAAATGCGAGTTTCAGCTGCTGCCACCGTCGGTGAAATGCAATCTGGCTTTCGTGCTCCCTATCTCATCCCAATTGCAGAATCTTCGTTGTCTCAAGTCAAACACCGATGTACTTTAAAGGGAGAAAAGTCAAACGCCGACGACGTGTGACCGTGCGATATGCGTACAATACAAAAACAAGAGGCGTCATGGTCCGCATGATAAGTCGTTGACAACCACCATCCTCACTCACGGCGCTCCACGTCCACCCTCACATAAATACACAAATCTCCTGTGTAGCATCAAAAAAGATTGAGCGGAGCATCCAGCAGAAGAACCGCGACCGGCGCCGAGCCGTGGATTTCGCTCACACAAACTGGGAGGAAAAGGGCATTCGGTGCGTGGCGAAAGCATGGGCCAGTCTCTGATGAAGCTCTTCTTCGACAACTCCTGCCAGAAAGAAGTGAAGGTAACGACAGTGGCATCATGCCGTTGCTACAGACAGTGCTACGATTGAGCTCTCTCTATGGCTCCGGGCCTCCGGATTCTTCCTTTTCCGGTCTTTCAGTTGCTCTCGTCCTGCTATTGTAGGTTGCGATGCTTGGGCTGGACGCCGCCGGCAAAACGACGATCCTGCACCGGCTGCACGTCGGCGAAGTTCTGTCGACGGTGCCGACAATCGGTATACAATCTCAACTCTCAAGCTACGTTGATCCTAGTACATATCCTATATGGTAGCATTGAGGTATTGCGTGAATTATAGTTTTTGTTGCTGCAGGTTTCAACGTGGAGAAAGTTAATGTGGCCTTCACGGTGTGGGACGTTGGAGGGCAGGACAAGCTGCGGCCGCTCTGGAGGCACTACTTGAGCAACTCGGACGCCTTGGTATTTTCAGTTTCCACATCTCCTGTGTTCTATACAGCCATTCGCGTGGACGCGTCATGCTGAACAGCTCAAGCTGTTACCTGCTTTTGTATCTGTCGTCGCAGATATACGTTGTTGATTCGACGGACAGGGACCGGATTGGGGTTGCCAGGGAGGAGTTCCAGGCAATCGTCAAGGACCCGCTCATCCTCAGCAGCATTCTTCTCGTGCTCGCCAACAAGCAGGATATGGTAATCATCAGTGACTCGTCCAAAGCAAACCGAGGCAGACAACGCCTCTCATCTGTGTTCGGTGTTCCTTTTTCTTCGCAGAAAGGCGCGATGAGCCCCTCCGAAGTGGAAAAAAATTGGGTGAGCGACGGGTCCATTAAACCACCCATGCGCCCCTAGGCTGGGATCATCGACACGTGGCGAAGATAACAAATCAAGCGCTCAACATGGTGCTACGCGAGGAGCCGAGACATGCGGGGGAGGAGCCGACGCACGTTGATTAGTTTTCCTCGCCACGCGTCAGTGATCTAACGTATGGGCGCACCGGTGGTTCAGTGGAGCCGTCGCCCACACAATTTTTTTTCGCCGAAGTGGGGCAGCGCCTGGGCCTGTACGACCTCAAGAACAGGACGTCGCGTGCCGTGGGGGCCTGCGCGCTCACCGGCACGAGGGGCTCGGTTGGCTGGCAGCGACCCTTAAGGACGCGCACACATGGGGAACCTCCGTCCGCTTCTAGTTCTAGGCCATTTTTTTCCCCAGGCGTATCACCATTTCCGGCGAATAGGCAGGCCATTTTGTCGAATTAAGTCTGTCGTTTGGCTTAAATACATGCTTTTGGAAAGGAACGAAAAAAAGGGCTGCAGGTGAGTGCCTCAAATGCTCAATGACGCGAGGTTGAGGTTTCTCTACAGAACACTGAAACCAGATGTCCAACAACCACAACACGTTGAATGAAAATATTTAAATCTGATATGGAAGTGAAGAAAGAATGCATCAGCTTATACAATCATATTCCAGGCTTCAAATCTATTCAAGCAACAAAGTGGCAGCATCACAACAGTACCTTCCGTGTGACTAAATCATAATCGTTTTGCATAACTGTAACTGAAACAATACAGTACAAATCTCAAGCATCGTCAATATGGAAACAACATGTCTGAGAACATCCCGAATAAGCTGTGTGAAATAATAGAACGCGGGAATAAGGTCCAGCCTTCTCCAGAATCTTAACCGATTATCGTCCATGTTCTGCAACCATATAGAAACACGAGCTTCAAAAATAAGGTCTTCGCGGGCGGCGGAATCTGGGGAATCTCCTGCATCAACAAAAACAAACCAAAGGAAATGATCAACATTCTGCTCTTCTTGTTTTAAGAGAGTCAAATGCCAGCATAGCTGAGCAAACAAGTAAACAACTCACCCATAGCCATAAGGACTATAACCATATGGCCTCATGTAGGGGTGGCCATGGTAGGGATTGAAACCTCGACCGCGGGGTTGCTTCATCCCAGGAACGTTAGTCCTCTTTGGTGCCACCTGATGAGAAAACAAGGTAGTAATGTCAACATGCCACCATCTGCCCGATGAGTACAGGGATGGGTGCAAAATGGGTATAAAGCGCCCATCGGATGTTGATGCTCTTAGTAAAAGCAAAAAATACCAAGATTCACACCTTGAGTTGGCGACCATGCAATTCTGATTCGTTCAACTTAATAGCTTCCTGAACAGCTTCAACTTCAACAAATTCCACATAAGCAAAACCTTTTGGTTGCCCAAACTTGTCAGTCAGGATTGTCACTCTGTTAACGGTTCCACAAGAATTGAAGTGCTGCTGCACTTCTTCTGGAGTGCATGCATAGTCAACCTGCAGTTGCAATTACACCGAAGTTGAGCGGACTTGTAATGTTACATATTTCAATAACCAAACAGCTGACAAAAAGACATATATACAATAAAACTTCGAACCTAAATTTTTGCAGACAATACATAATTCATTTGAAACAACTAATAATATGTCAGTGCATTAATAAGCTGTCTCTGTTCACATGGACGAAAATAGTATTGGAGTCAGCTGCTCCAAATATCATATGAGAGATTAGCTGAACCAGAGTCCAGAGCTAACTAGAATTTGTAAAGATGCATCAGTTTGATTATAAAACACATGCTTTATTAACTTCCTATGTCTGTATATATGCTACAGTTCTAAAGCTGCTCAATCAGGTTTTAGTGACACAAAGTATGTTCCAACTAGGGTACTCAGCAGTCCCTCAAATTGCTTAAATGATGCTCAAAGGTGGTTACAAAGTTAACAAATTAATGAATCCGCATTACCACTGGCCACTGCACAACAAAGCAAGTTCGTATCAAAATTACCAGTTCAATTTAAGGGCATCAAAAGTTAATGTTCAATAATTTTCGCTAAAGTACACATCTACTTTGCATCTTCCAGAATATAGCTGAACTAAATGAATTAATGCAACATGTCAGAAACATGTGTAATGTGTTGCCCTCAAAAATGAAATACGTATTTACTTACACCAGCTGAAAGTTGATGGGTCCAGAGCATGATAAACATATAGGTTGTGCATTCATAAAACAAGCTAAATTACAACCAGACCAGTTACATTGTCAATATACACCATAAACATAATATACAATGACTAAAAAGCAACATAGTCCATTACTAGCACTAGACTCTAGTATATATCTATCAATACGGATATCTATCTTCTCCAATACATGACATTTTTATGGCATGATAAGGAGTGTCAATAGGGTAAAATTTCCTAGAATCCAATTGATCAAATTATTAACCACACATCAAGGAAAGTATTTGCCGTGCCTGCAATGACGGATTCATCTATTGTAACACACTGAGGCAGGTTATTGATATGATTTAACAATCTACTATGTCTATACTTTATACTATGCCACGCGGTAAACATGCCAAGAAATAAAATGGATACTTTAGGGATTGTAGGGAACTAGGGACAAGAGAATATTGGAAGATCAACTAATGGATGATTAGTGATTACTGGACAGTAAGGTGCCAAATAAAAATTGCTTCAGTGTGAAAGAGGATTAATGAAATAGATAAATTGCAATAGATGTCAAGTGTAAGATAACAGGGGGAACATCTACAGAAACATATAACAATCTCAATACACTCAGCAGAAATGAGGTCAAACTTACATGCCATGGCTAATGATATCATTCCACATCAGTAACACGAATGTGCCTGACGCATTCTCTGCTGGCTACCCTGGGGGATAATTCCTAGCCTATGACATCATTTCTCTCTCTTTTTTTCATTTTTTCTATACTTTTTTTACTTTTTTCAAATCGTTTTTTCTATTTTTCCTTTCTTTTTTCAAGAACTTCTTTCTTGGATTTTTTTTCCTTCCCCCCACTAAGCTAACACTAACTTGTGCTGAGACTGAACCAGATGCCAAAACTTTGATAGAAAGGCTTGATGACAGCAGACTAACCTGCGACCATTGGCATTGTTCAATCAACACAAAGGTGAAAAAAATAGAAAATATGATAAGAATAGGACCATATGTGCACTAGTTCAATGAAATAGAATGGAACTTTTACTAATGAACTGCAAACTAATACAATCCACATAGAAATTGGATTTCTAGTGGAGCATGGCCAAATAAACATACTATCTACTGGAAAATGACAATCAATATTTTATTAACCCCCCGCCACCCCCCACCAAATAATATCATATATCCATTGAAGTATACATAAGTCCCCTTAATTTGCTTAAAAAGGAGATAAAACTTACATTTCCAATGAATACCGACCGAGAATCCATCTCCTCTTTGTTTTCAGATGTGGTTGCATTGGGATCTACACCTACAGAAAAAGATCAATGATTGGTTGTGTTAGAGAAATAACAAATGAATGATTACATAGTTATATTACAGCATGCAATCAAACCAAGGCTAAAAGCTTGCCGCCCGTTTGGATAGAGGGGGGATTGGGATCCAAATCTATAGGATTGCCTATAATCCTAAAAAAATCAACCAAGTGCCCATTTTACTCTCCCAAACATGCCCCTACATGTATGGACAAGCTAAAAAGTTCAGCTAAAACACAAAGGTTAAGTTATTCAACAGAATAAAAGGCCCAATAAACAAAGAGGGGATACCGATCCAAAGTTCAAAAAGGCGCTAGGCGGTTTCTAGGCGACGACCCATGGCATAGAGCCTAGGCAAGCCTAGGCGTTTCAAGGCGTTTTTCTAGTCGTTTTATACAAATACATATATTACATCTAAAAGAAAAAAATAAAGCAGAACAGTGGGCTTATAGATGGGAAAAAAGGCCCATCAAAGAGTCGAGCTCAACTTTCCCCACTCCAACTCCAACCTTATCCGCTGGCTCCTCCCAATTCCAGCCGCACGCCCGTCGCTGCTGCCTCTGCTCGCGCTCGTAGCACGGGGCGCGCCTCCTCTGCCTCCACCTGCCGGCTGTGCTCGTCGCCAGGCACCTCTCTCCTCCCGGTCGCGCTTGTTGCCAGGCGCCTCTGCCTCTCCTCCCAGCCGCCGCCAGCTGGCTCCCCCCCTTCCCGGCCGCGCTCGACGCCTCCGCTGGCACCCGCCATCACTCAGCGGCTCTGGATCTGGTGGGGACGCCCGCGTACCCCCTTAGGCGAGGCGGTGACCCTCCGCCTAGCGTTGAAGCGCGCCCAGGCGAGCGTCTAACAGCGCCTTTTTGAACTTTGTACCGATCACAAACTAAGCTTTCCAGCTCCTAGGATACAGGGTGACAACGATAACATAGTGGGTTTCACACTGGGTGTAGTTGAACATGACGGAAACAGAGGATAGGAAAGAGAGATGTAGGCCATAATCACCCATCCCACACCAAATCTACCAAAACAAACTACTACCCCAACCTGTAATAGCATTACCTGTACGATTGCGAATCAAAATCAGGTGCTGCACTTACATCCACAGTTCAACACAGCAACTAATCATCGTAAGCAACTAGTCCAATCTAAAGAACAACCAAATGGCTTCTATTGCAATCAGCAAACACTCATTGATAAAAGATGCAAGTTAATTAAAACAAATTTCCCAACCACCCTACTATAGACGAACTCACGAACAATTGTAGTGTCGACACATCAACAGAAACAGTGACCACAGCACATCATATAGCTTAAAGATCCAACTCGAATTCCCAACTACTGCTAAGTAGCTGCAAGCCAACGCAAATGTTTTGCGCAACGACCCTACTTGAGATACAGATCTCTAATAACTAACACGGAAAAGCTGCGCGCACGGGATAGAGGGGATTCCGAACCTTGCATCTCCTTGGCGACCTTGGCCTGCATCTCGCGGAGCGCGGCGGCCTCCTCCTCCATCTCCTTGAGCCGGCGCTTCATC